AATCTCTGGTTATTAACAAACCTATCTTCTTCAGATCCGTACCAAATAGCACTTTATTAATGATCTCTAGTTCCAAAAAAATTTTTTGGGGTTTCCTTTGTACAACAATGTACCCTTAAATATTTATCGATATTATTCAAACGCGACAAAAGATCGACTGTCCACGAGTCAATACGTGATAAGTAAGTATCATCAGAGAGCCTGAGAAACGTTAGAAACCATTAGTTCAAGCTCTAGTTTAAAAGTTTAATATTCAAACGTTCGACAATTTGAACTATTATTTAAGAGCTTGTCTAGTCCAAATATTGATCATTAAACTTTACGCAGGCAAAAGATAGTAATTACGAATAGTCGAGGGAAGTGGAAGGTGTCCCGCATAATATATTAAAAGTTGGGTAAACCAGTTAGGAGCTATTGATGAAATATTGAATGGAAAAGACATTTGTATTAATGAGAAAAAAGCCCACCTGCAATTAATCAATTCGGCCAACATGTCTAAATTTTTTTTTTCGCAATAATAAATTTTTTATTTTAACAATATCGAATAATAATGATGATGATGATATTTAATTAATGCAATGTTGTATACATATGCACTGATTTTGTTTGAACCCCAAATTCAGTATAACGTTATGAATACTTTATACTAGAAAAAACCCATTGGTTTTGAGGTGGAGCCATTGGTTTGGCAAGCTGTTAAATAGTAAAATAGTTTTTTTAGCGGATAAAATAAATTTGTTTAGGGTTATTTATCATTCTACTGACCAGTTTACACATTAAAAATACTCGTGTTTAACATCGAGACACAATAAGATATAAGGAAGGTTTGAAAAAAACCAAATCAGCTGATGTTACATATCTTTTAATAATTTACATTTTCCGTAAATCGTATAATAATAGGCAATAAAATTTGTTAAAGAGGCCCGGAAAAATGTTACTATTAATTATTGTTGATGAAAATTGGTATTCTTCCTTCAGATTATGAGGTACAAATCGAAGATGCTGCAACTTTAATAGAAAATATTGCAAATGATCAGAGATGATGACGATGTTGACAATTTAATTGATAGATGATCTTTTGGTTTGGCATTGATGACAGAGGGATGTATATAATTTAAGTATACCAACTCAAGAAGTGATTCTTGGTCCTTTTGAACAAATCGAAGAGAAAGAAACTATTTTAAGTAATACAACTAACTATTCCTACCCTATTAATAAATACATATTCCGTGATATTTTCGTCAGGACTGATGTTATTGTCTTATCTAAATATCTATCAATTTTATCCAAATCTTTACTAATGGTTGAGTTATTATTCTAAGCACTGCATCCTTGCTGTAATGAGTTAGATTCATCATTAAGATTTTGAGCATCTTGAATTTCTGATGAGATTTCCTTTAAAGAAATATTTTCAAGCAATACTCTTTTTTACTTCCCCCTCATAAATTTTTTATTTTTTATTTAGTAGTATGAGTTTGAGAACTAAAAATATTCAAATATGATGGACTACAAATATAACAATCATGATTGTTGTGATCTTTTAATCCTGAAGTAAAATAAGTGAGTTGATCTGATGATCTGATAAATAAAAGGAAAGTTTTTTTCAATTAATCAGTCCATTTGATGAGTGATTAATCGATCAATCAAAACATATTTATCTTTAGTACAGGACTTATTCAACTAATTAAATGATTTTCCTGCAAAAATAATCTAGAAACCTGCCCCATTAAAGCTGCACCAAGAAATTTTTTCTGATGCGGATTTATGTAATTATTACACTATTTACGTAAGTTTACGGCAGGTCCCATAATATTATGCAATTATTACATTTGGTATAATATTACAAATTTTTATGCCAAATATTACAACTTCACATATTAAAATTTATGGACATAATATTTCCTGATGTGTGTTGTGTTGACTTCAAAGAAAGGTCCATCAAAGTCTTCTTTGCCATTAATGAATTGAATGGAGTTAGTGTAATACCAATGCGTCCAGGGTCACATTGCCATATTTTCATGATTTTCTTGTTTAATAATATTCTCAAACCAAAAGTTAATATAAATTTATTATTTTTAATTATAACAAAATAATTACTTGCCACAAAAACATTTTGTCGGGCATCATTTAATCATAATATCATCAATGATGCATTTTTGACATTTAACTTTTAGTAATTGTCAATTTATCATTCTATTTTATTTTATTGGACAATGTAAAAATGCTATTTGTGATACTTCAAAGTACAAATATGCTTGAAATCTCCTTCAGTGAAAAAAAATTAATAATAATTGATCTTTCGATCCTAACACATTGGTAATAAAAACTTTCGTAAAAATAGACCCAGGCTATAATTAATTAATAAAATCTGGCATGATTGATTTATTCATAACCTTTCTGATGATTAATGGTTTGGCCAACCTTTAATTATTAGTTAGCGATCCATTTTATTAGTTTTACTATATTGCTTGTAAGTAGTGTAGTTGTATATGTCGATTTAGTTTAGTTTGAACATTATTGGTTGTGTGCTAGGTTTGATGGCTCTGTAATAGATAGAGTTTTTATTCGTAATACAAATTTTTGTTCTAATACTAATTATTCAAATCATTCATTTATTCGAATTGTTATTATTCGTTTATTATTCTAATCATCATCATTTGTTTATTATTTTATTCAGATTGTTATTATTATTATTCAAATTATCATCATTCATTTATTATTCGAATTGCTATCATCATTCGTTTATCATTCGAATTATCATCATTCGTTTATTTGAATTGTTATCATTCATTTATTGAATATTCGTTTTGCTTGAATTATTTATTTTATTTATTTGAACTATTCATTTTGTTCGAATTTTTCGTTTTATTCGAGCTATTCATTTATTCGTTTTGTTTGAAATATTCGGATTGTTCGTTTTATTTCGTACTATACATTTTATTCGTTTTATTCGAATTTTTTGAATTTTTTGAATTATTATTATTCGTTTATTTGTTTTATTTAAATTATCGATTGAATTATTATTTTATTTGTTATTTGTCTTATTTGAATTATTCGTTTATTTGTCTTATTTGAATTATCAAATCATCGAATTATTCGTTATTTATTTTATTCGAATAAACTTTCAATGTAATTTGAATACTCAAATTCATAACGAGTAAAACAAATAATTTGAATAAACCCTTATTCGAATAGAAGCCCTAATCAAGCAGTATAGTTGTATATGTGATTTTAATTTAGTTTGCCAGATTTGGTGACTCCAATAACTCTGATCGCATGCTTGCAATATTTATTACAGTTTTACAACTTTAGGGTGTCAATGCTGAATTGTTGTAGTTTCAGGTAAAATTTAATTTTTTTTTAGGTAAATCTAAATATATATTTAATATTAATTAATATATTTTTTGTGATACATATTTGTGGCTGAAAAAAAAAATTTTTTTTTACAAATATACAATGGAAAACATTTTAAATGAAAATAAGCATCATAACAATACTTCTACTGATAAAAACGATGAATATTCAAAGAGAAGAGATGAAGAATATGGGGAATGTCCAACATGCAATAGATATAATACTGGTTATTCATGGTGTCAATCATGCAATCCAAAATTATTAACTGAAGGATGGTCTAGTGGCAATGAAACATTAGATGAGTTGATTAAAAGTACACAACTTAAAGCAACCAAATATGATAATTTTTATTATCTTCAATGGATTCCTTATAATGATTTAACAAATATTGAAAAGATAGGTGAATCCATTTTATTAGTTTTACTATATTGCTTGTAAGTAGTGTAGTTGTATATGTCGATTTAGTTTAGTTTGAACATTATTGGTTGTGTGCTAGGTTTGATGGCTCTGTAATAGATAGAGTTTTTATTCGTAATACAAATTTTTGTTCTAATACTAATTATTCAAATCATTCATTTATTCGAATTGTTATTATTCGTTTATTATTCTAATCATCATCATTTGTTTATTATTTTATTCAGATTGTTATTATTATTATTCAAATTATCATCATTCATTTATTATTCGAATTGCTATCATCATTCGTTTATCATTCGAATTATCATCATTCGTTTATTTGAATTGTTATCATTCATTTATTGAATATTCGTTTTGCTTGAATTATTTATTTTATTTATTTGAACTATTCATTTTGTTCGAATTTTTCGTTTTATTCGAGCTATTCATTTATTCGTTTTGTTTGAAATATTCGGATTGTTCGTTTTATTTCGTACTATACATTTTATTCGTTTTATTCGAATTTTTTGAATTTTTTGAATTATTATTATTCGTTTATTTGTTTTATTTAAATTATCGATTGAATTATTATTTTATTTGTTATTTGTCTTATTTGAATTATTCGTTTATTTGTCTTATTTGAATTATCAAATCATCGAATTATTCGTTATTTATTTTATTCGAATAAACTTTCAATGTAATTTGAATACTCAAATTCATAACGAGTAAAACAAATAATTTGAATAAACCCTTATTCGAATAGAAGCCCTAATCAAGCAGTATAGTTGTATATGTGATTTTAATTTAGTTTGCCAGATTTGGTGACTCCAATAACTCTGATCGCATGCTTGCAATATTTATTACAGTTTTAGGGTGTCAACGCTGAATTGTTGTAGTTCAGGTAAAATTTAATATATTTAATACATTTTTTGTGATAAATATTTGTGGCTGAAAAAAAAAAGTTCTTTAAAAAAAAAATTTTTTTTTTGACAAATTATACAAAAAACCACAATGGAAAACATTTTGGATGAAAATACTTCTACTGATAAAAATGATAAATATTCAAAAGGAAGAAGAGAAAAATATGGGAAATGTCCAACATGCAATAGATATAATACTTATTATTCATGGTGTGAATCATGTGATCCAAAGCTATTAACTGAAGGATGGACTAGTGGCAATGAAACATTAGATATGTTGATTAAAAGTACACAATTTAGAGCAACTGAGTATGATAATGATAATTATCTTCAATGGATTCCTTATAATTATTTAACAAATATTGAAAAGATAGGTGAAAGTAGGTTTGCAGCTATATACAAAGCTACTTGGTTAAATGGTTATAAAATTGCATATCATAATGAAAGAGCTAGTTATGATATGACTGTGGCATTAAAAAAACTACATAATTCACAGAATATTTCTGATGAATTTCTTAATGAGGTAAATTATTTTATTTTTTTATCTGTTTTCAGGTTTTTTAAATATTATTCTGAAATTCAATATATTTTTTTAGTTCAGAAATTATGTTATATTTCATGGTGAACCATTTATAAATAAAATTTATGGATTAACACAAGATCCAGCTACAAAAGAATATATCTTTGTAATGGAATACATGGGTGATAGAAGTCTTCAAAATGATCAATATTCAAAGAAAAGATATGGAGTATATGGGGAATGTCCAACTTGCAATAAATATAATACTAATTATTCATGGTGTCAGTCATGTGATCCAAAGCTATTAACTGAAGGATGGACTAGTGGCAATGAAATGTTAGATGAGTTGATTAAAAGCACACAGCTTAAAGCAACTAAATATCATTATAGTAATTATCTTCAATGGATTCCTTATAATGATTTAACAAATATTGAAAAGATAGGTGAAGGTGAATTTGCAACTATATCCAAGGCTACTTGGTTAAATGGTATGAGAGTGTGAATTATGATAATGAAAGAACTAGCAAGGATATGCCTGTGGCATTAAAAAAATTACATAATTCACAGAATATTTCTGATGAATTTCTTAATGAGGTAAAATATTTTATTTTTATTTATTTTCAGATTTTTTAAATAGATTATTATTGTTATAATTAAATATTTTATTTATTATTTTAGCTTGAAAATTATAAAAAATTTCATGATAAAGTTTATATTTATGGATTAACACAAGATCCAATTACAAAAATATATATCTCTGTAATGCATTACATGGAAGATGGAAGTCTTCAAAATGATGAATATTCAAAGGAAAGATATAAACGGTATGGGGAATGTCCAACTTGTTAAAGAT